TAATTTTCTAATTTTTAAGTATCTTGTAAAAAAGAATATCTTAATTAGTAATACTAATCATGTTATAACAAAAATATATAGATAATGAATACCTAACCTTTTTCTAAAATTTAAAAAAGAATTCTTCAATCTACTTTTTCATATAATACTTCTTTTCTATACAGTTTTATTATAACATAATACTTCTGTGCTAATAATAACTGTGGAAACTATTCATTTTATCCTCAACCATTCAAGCGTCCTCTTCCTTTTTTTATCTATCCAATTTACCTTCCAATGATTTCTGCAAGCATCATCGCTTCTATTAATATTATTAGAATATTTTCAGCACATCGGACTTATCCTACCCCAAAATATTTTGTTAATATCACCTGCATGTACTCCAAGTATGGCTTCTAATAATGCTAACTTCTCCTTAAATCTCCAGCGAGTTCCTTCATCGCCTATATGCACATTTTTAAGATGATGATTTAAAATGGTTTCAGCTATAATATAGCAATATTAATAAGTATGGATTACGATAAAGGGTCTTAACCCTTTAGGAAACACTATATTGTAATAAGTTTGTTAGAAAAGCTTCACTTAGTAATCTTTGTTCTGACTCGAGATTCCTAACCAGTATAACTGCTGATTCAAGAGATAAATCAAATCTTCTGAGCTTATTCTCGGTCTCATGAAGTATGTTGAGTGCACCAACGACGCTTGAGATATTATCTGCTGTTGCATGTTTCAGACCAAAATTACCAGTTTCTTGAGTAAGCATTTCCTCAGTCAAATTAAAGAAGTTTGGGTCTGGAATCTCAACGAACTTATTGACATCGCCTTCTTCAATGTTCAAGACTTCCATTTTACTTTCTAAGAATTCGACAACCTTAGAATAGGTAGGGTTTTGATATTCTTCCATAAATTGGATAATCATTGCTTAGCAGTCAATGGATGTTTCCTGATTCATGGTATAATATAAGACTTCGTTAATTATTGTTTACATTTATAATTCAATTTTCATTTCAACATTTCTCACGACTACGCCAAGATTCTGTAAATCACAACGTCTAATAAGGCCAAAATACATTCATAGGTTCTTAATTTCGATCGTCCTAGCCCCTTCGAATATTTTTGGCTAAAAAGAAAATCTGAATCGAGTAGGATCAAAGTGATCGACCCAAATCACGAAAATAATATTAATCAAAAATTCAAAAATAGAATTAAAAAACCACGGAATATACCGTATTGCTCTCATGATACATGATGACATTTCTATAATAACTGCGGACTAATATACACACGCCATTACGCATATTCATCTAAAGCATCTTCAGAAAAATTGATGCTTAATAGTAAATTACCACTTTGCGAAACCCTCAACTACATTCTATTGTGATGTGGTTCAAATAAAGTTCTCGGCTTCCTAGAATGATATAAGATGTTAATTACTACATTCATGCAATAAAAATAATGTGAATAGGACACTTTCATTCGAATATTGTTTTATTAAT